TATAGGCATGCTTGGAGTGGGGGTGGAGGTCAGAGGACAACCTTTGGGAGTTGCTTCTCTCCTACTGCACTGTGAGGTTTTGAACTCCTTGCTGAACCATCTCCCTGGCTCGAGAATCAGTTTTGTGGCTATTGTTTTGTTGTTGTTGTTTTTGATACAGGGTTTCATATGGCCCACACTGGGCAGGAATATTCTGGGCTGAAGGATGTCCTCCCAATGATTTCTCTTTCTACCTCAGGGGTGCTGGGATTACTACAATGCCAAGGCACCTATCGTGCAGGGGTTGGGGTCAAACTCAGGTCCTCCTGGATGACAGGTCGGTACTCCACCATTGAGCTACACCCCAGGCGTCTCTTAGACCTTACATCATCTCTAGACAAGTCCTAATTCCTGAACCCAGGCAGGTGGCGGTCAGAACGGTTGCCACACTGTACTGTGTGTGAAATAGTGGCGAGAAAACATCTATATAATCATTCACTACACTTTTCATTGGATTTTGATGTGTATATGGATTTGTGCACATCAGACCCACTGGAGGTAGAGTTAGAAGCAATTGTAGCCAACTTACATAGCTGCTGTGCAGGGAACCAAGCTCAGCTCCTCTGCAAGAGCAGCATCCACTCTTAACTGAGCTGCTATCTCACCAGGCCCTCGCATGTAACTTTTTTTCTAAATATTTTTGATCCATAGTTAGGTGGAATCCACAGATACCCTGTGGACACAAATACCTGCTGTACATGTAATGACTGTGTAAATACACCACAGCCGTTTTCAGTCTGTGACACGTGGCTCAGCTTTTCACCTACAGTAAGAATGTGGTGAATTGGGCTGGAGAGATGGCTCAGAGGTTGAGAGCACTGACTGCTCTACCAGAGGTCCTGAGTTCAATTCCCAGCAACCACATGGTGGCTCACAACCAGCTGTAATGAGGTCTGATGCCCTCTACTGGCCTATAGGATATATGTAGGCAGAATACTGTATACATAATAGATAAATAAATCTTTAAAAAAAAAAAAAGAATGCTTCAAAATTTAGAAGCAGAGCAGGCAAGAGCACTCTATGGGTCAAGGCACTTGCAACCAAGCTTGGTAACCTGAGTTTGAGCCCTGGGACCCGCGTGACAGAAAAAGAGCACCGACTCCTGCAAACCATCCTGTGTCAGCGTGTGCTCCTTGCCCAGCACGTGTGCAGCCCTACGCGCACACACATACACACGCCCAGATCCACAAAACAAATAAATGCGTAAGGCAGTGTAATTTTGAAAAACTTTAAAAATCAGAAGCAACTCAATATAAGAAAAGAAAAGCACGAATGTCCTTAGTCGTGTTGGTGGTGCCCGGATGTGTGAACATCATGAAGGGCTGTGAAGATGATGGTGGGTTTAGAGAGGCAGGGCCAGGGCCAGGTGCCTGCCAATGTAGCGGACGACTTGAGGTAAGTCCCTGGGACCCACATGGTAGAAGCAGAGAACTGACTCCCCCAAGGTGTCCTCTGAAATTCACATCCTCTCCATGGCATGCATAAACACACACACCAAAAAATACGATAACAATAAAGGGTGGACCAACTCAGAAGGTCCCCCAAGGCTGAATGAGTTCAAGGCTCCAGAGCTAGAGGAGAGCTCTACAAACCACCTCTGAGCCCTCTGGAGCCCCAGAGCTGGGCACCTGGGCACTCTTGTAAACAATGGTTTGATGTGGGAAGTCCTTTTCTATATGTGTTGCTCGTATTGGTTAATGAATAAAGCCGCTTTGGCCTATGGCAGGGCAGAATATAGCCACACTGGAAGAGATATAGAAACAGAGTATGTGGAATCAAAGAGACACCAAGTAGCTGCTGAAGGAGGCAATTGTCATGTAGCTGCCCAAGAAGCAAGACTAACAAACCACGAGCCTTGTGTTAAAATATAAAATAATAAAAATAAAATTTAAAATGTAAGACCTAGATAGAAATATACCTAAGACAGCGGCCAAACAATGTTGTAATTAATACAGTTTCTGTGTGATTACTTGGGTCTGGGCAGCCAGGAAAGAACAAGCAGTCTCCACTTGAACTGGTTGCTGAAGCCAGACCACCCCTCAGCACAGCCCCCAGCCTCTAGTTTCTACCCTAATACCCAGTAGACTTTGCTCTCTGCTCAGCCCCCTCTGGCCTGACCCACTTACAGCCAGGACTACATAGCAGTCACCATCGAAGAAGCTTCCAAAGGTGCTGGAAGAAACAGGTACCATCTGCATAGCCTGGAGAGAGAAAGGTCACAGTAGACATGGTGGCAAACGTGTAGTCCTGCCTACTCAGGAGACCAAAGCTACAGGACTGGTCTAGTCATTCTCGGCTGTTGTGTGTTGTGCCAATCATGTGGTTGCACTAAGTTTGGGATCAATACAGTAGCCTCCTAGGAACAGGACACCATCCCCAAGGAGGAGAAAGAGGTCATAGGAGCTACCAGAACCACCAGGTAAGGAGGTTGACCAGAAGATGTGTAGGAGGATGGGAGTTAAGGATGCAGGGCCCAACAAGGTTTGGATGTTGCTTAGCTATAGAGTCCTTACTAGGTGTGGCCCTCGGTTCTGACTTCAGCACCACAAGATACCCCAAATCAAAAAACTCAGTGCCCAGAAATGAAAGGTTGGGAAAATCTTGGTAAGTCTTAGGCCAGTGGATGGCCCTTCTTGGAAAGGGACAAGGGGAGGAAACAGAACAGAGAAGGACAGGGCTAACTGGGACAAGGAGGAAACAGAACAGAGAAGGACAGGGCTAACTGGGACAAGGAGTGGAAGAAGGACAAGGCAGATGAGGAAGAGAAGAGAGGACGGGGTGGCAGGGGTGGCACCAGCAGCTCCCTGCAGTGTGCAGGACCTGGCTGGAGGAGACTGGGCAATGCCAGGCTTCATCCACCCTCCTGAATCCCTGAACTCCCCTCCAGACAAGACTCACCTCGATCCTCCATATCTGTATTCCTGGAGTGGTGATGTTGAGAGAGCCTTTGACCTGAGCAGTCAACTTGGTCATGGTGGGTGAGCCTAGAGGAGAAGGCATATGAAAGCCGCGGCCATCAAGTTAGGAGTACCCCAGTCTCAGGTGGAGGTCACAGACTCGATGCCTAGAGGAGGAAGGGAAGCTGGTTCCCCACTAGGGGTCTTAACCTCCAGCCTTCCCACCCAGCTTTGATGATGACCTGCTCTTATCCAAATGCCTACATTGGCTCCCTTAGTATAAGTTACATAGCCCAGCACTTAAAAGAGACCCCTCCCTCCATGCTTTTGAGACAAAGTCTTGCTATGTAACCCAGGCTGTCCTGTGTGCCACCACACCCACTTTAAGCCTCTTCTGTAGCTTCAAACTCCCTGCTCTGTAGGCTTTTTGAAACAAGGTCTCATGTAGCCCAGGCTGGCCTTGAACTCACTATTTCAGATTGCAGGTATGCAACACTAAGCCTGATTTTAAGCATAGAAAAATCAAACCAAACTAAACACAAAAAGGGCCAGGGAGATCGCTCAATTGGTAAAGTGCTTGTCCTCAGGACTCATGTGAAGAGCTGAATTCAATCCCTGGAATCCACACTATGTAAGGAGAAAACTTCAACAAATGGCCCTCTGACCTACACATGTGCACTGTGGCATGCGTGCACCCCACTCCCACCCACACGCACATACACACACACCAAATATAATATTTAAAGATTTTAAAAGTGAGTGATACCTGAGGAATAACACCTGAGTTTGTTCCCTGACCTCCACACACAGGTACTCACATGTGAGCGCCTGTACACACAAACACACACACACATACACACACACCACACACACACAAAGGAAAAAGAAAAGGAAGAAAACTGTTCTTGAAGTTTACAGCTGCTCTATTCACAAGTGTCAAACGTGGAACCGCAGCCTGGTCTGTGTAGTGAACTCCGGACAGCCATGACTACATAAAAGACCCTGTCTCAAAAACAGGGGGTGTGGGGGAGAGTGGTGGTGGTAGTAGCGGGGGAGGGACCACAATTGTCCATCAGTAAATGAAACAGAAAGTAGTATATCCACTACACTATGAAGCTGTAAGATGGATTACGGTAATGACACACGCCCCCAACGCAAACTGTGCTAAGAGAAAGGAGCCAGTCATAAAAGCATACATAATAAATCATCCCATTTACATGACCTAGTCAGACATGCAAATCTGTAGGGGCAGAGGCTGTGGTTACTAAGTTTGGGCAGGAGGAACAGGGCATTAGTGGGCACGGAGTAAGTGCTGGAACTGGAGAGTGGAGAGCTCCGCATAGCGTTGGGAATGTGTTAAATGTCGCAGAATCACCTGGATAAAGTGGGGACTGGGACTGTAGCTCTGTGGCAGAGAGCTTGTTCAGCACGCCCAGGCCTGGAGTTCCACACCCAGCTCCTAAATAAAGAATAGAATAAAGTGAGTGCGGTGTTGATGAACACCTGTAATCCCAGCACTGGGGTGAAGGTAATTCAGGGTCAAACTAGCCTGGGCTATTCTATGTATAGATAGAATATGGATGGACAGGTGGACAAACAGATGGATGGTTGGACATCTTCTGAGTAATTTACCATAATAATACAGGAACGCATGCCTTTCCCTTACCAGGCCCCACCAACATCTTCCAATCACTGCGATTGTTGCCCAGAACATTTTAAGCTTTATTTATTTTATTTTATGGATATGACCATTTTGCCTATAGACATATGCATATCCCCTGGAACCAGAGCTGCAGACAGCTATGAGCTGCCATGCAGCACTGGGAATCAAGCCTGGGTCCTCTAGAGAAGCAGCCAGTGCTCTTATAAATACTGAATCATCTCTCTAGTGCCCCAAAATATCTTTTGTTTGCTTGTTTTGTTTTGTTTTGTTTGTTTGTTTTGGGGGAAAGGGTTTCCCTGTATAGCCCTGGCTGCCTTGGAACTCACTCTGAAGTTGAAACTCAGAGATCTGCCTCCCTCTGTCTCCCAAGAGTTTGGGATTAAAGGCGTGCACCACCACGCCCAACTGTCGCCCTGGTGTTCCTGCAAGGGCAGAGACCATTTTTGTCTGCTCAGTACTAAATCCCCAGCGTTAATTTGGGTGTGGTGTAATCCTAGTACACAGGCGGAGACAGGAAGAGCTGGAGCTAAAGGTCATCCTTGGCTGCACGGCCAGTTTGAGGCCAGCTCAAGCAACACAAGACGCTTTCCAGCAATAACTAGGTGCTAGGACATGGTTCAGATGGAATGACAAAAACAACCAAAATTTATTCTCTGACTGCCGCATGTGTGCTGTGGTGTGCACATGCCTACACACATACACAATCAAGCAATCAGTCAATGTAATTTTAAAAAAATTAAGTCTCTAGCATTTAGTACAATACCAATTCTCTGTTAGATGCATGAATGAGTGAGGAAAAGCAGGGAAAGAGTAAGGAGGAAGGGAGGGTTTAGATGGATGGGTGCGTGGGTG